AGCCGCTACAACAACAACAACAACAACCAGTTAGAACTCCCATCACTAGTGAGAAGTGTTCCTGGCTTAAAGCATAAACAGACGGCAGTGTTGATCAGGATCAACTCGGAATTAACTGCTACGCTGGAGTCTGTTTAAGCATTTAGACTGAAGCGGTTCCTGGACCGCCCTCGGTTTACACATGGTCAAAAGGACTTTGCCACCTTGCATGCCAAGAACTTCGCCCAACGCCCGCTGAGCTGATCAAATTCCCACGGTCCAGCTCCTCGACCGTGCATTTTCCAGTGATTTCACTGTAACCCGGAACCCAGAGCCAAGAGCCTACCACTAGTTGCAGCACAACATTTAATAACCTAGCACCAATTACACCGATAAGCGATGGTATAGTATTCATCAATGATCAACTGGCTGTTATAGAAGAAATTAAAGAGGCTCCGAACAAGGTCAATGGTACTTACCTGGTTGTGTTCAACGATCGTGTGAAAATCAATGGTACGATATTTTCAATGAAAATTCAGGGGGGCCTGAAGCTGCAATTTAAAGGGCTTCCGCAGCATACTGAGAAACGGAGTGGTTTTTACCTCCATCATGTACGTAAATTAGCAAACCCTTCTACACATCAATAATCTGCTACGAACAGTTGTACAAGGCCGCATTGCAGGCTAGAAAATGATTGGAAGTTTCGTTTTTAGACTCACATAAAACAAACACCCAGGCAGCCGAAATAACTTGTTTAACACTTAAACAACGAACCGTTTAATTTATATGTATAAGCAGTTGACTGTAAACGATCCAAAGAATGTATCCACTTTAACTTTTAGGAATTCAAATTTTTTATAACTTATTACTCTCAAAGTATTCCGGATGTGCTTTCTTCGCTGTTTCTATGTCGTCGACGGCCTTAACGTATGGAGTTCGGCCAGTATTTACTTTGAACATTACATATAATTCGTCTGCTGTCATAGTTTTGTCGTGCTTGCGTTGCATATGTGTAATAAAACTGTTAAAAAGATTATTTTATTAATCGAATAGGTTTTCAAAGATTTTTTAAAAAACTTACTATTCACGCTTCACGCTTCCATAATTGCAAATATTGCATTTATATGGCATTAAGCCAGTATGTTCAAATGAATGTTTTCTTAACGATGTGCCAGTTTTGAACTCTTTGCCGCATACATTACATATTCGCTTAATATTAGCATGTTTTTGCAAATGGTATGTGAGACGGACTTTAATTCTGAATCGACGATCACATAAATGGCAGGCATATGGTAATTCGCCTGTATGAACTCGCATATGTACCTTAAGTTCACTTTTATCGACAAATGTCTTATCACATACAGTGCATGGAACTTTGCGTTCCTTCGAATGTAATAACATGTGGCGCTTAAGTTGAGGTTTGCTCTTATATGAATCACCACATATGTCGCAATGAAAATTTCGCTCGTTACTGTGTACAGTGTCGATATGTTTTCTTATATAATCCGCATCGAATTTCTTCTGACAAATTGGACATTCCTTAAGTTGAGCTTTTATATTTAGATGCTGTTTTCTTTCGTGCGTTTCCAACGCAAGATACGTAGATAACACACGCGCTTAAAAATTATTAAAAAGATATTATAACACAAGTACATATTTTTATACGCATATTGAGGTGGTGTCAAACAGATGCGATACTAACGGTGCGATACGATATCGTATTTGATGCGATAACGTTAAAAAGCAAAGGCCCGCAAACATGTGCGATATTATTTACACTGCGGTGCTTCATATTTCTTATGGCAATCTTTTATATTCCGAATACTTCAAATCAGGACTTCTGGAGCAAAGGAGCAAAGAATTTTAGCTGGAGGGGAGCTGGAACAAGTCTCCGATAGCAACTCCGCTTTCACATACAAGTCGTACGTGCGCAGCTAATGAACTGTTCCCAGCAAAAAATGGTGTAAGCAGTTGTAAGAAATAAGCGATACGCTAGCAGCGCTGCTTGCAGCGTTTCTATACTCCATCTGATGCCTTATTATAAGGGATTATGTAAGCCTTATTTTATTTGACCTATAAGACTTAAGGTCTGATTATGCATACTTCGCACAACTTCGCATAAACTTTTAACTGTAATTTCGGAATTATTTTGTATGTATTCCATAACCCAAATTAGCAGAACTTGGCGATCTGTTGAGTTTAGATTTTGCTTCACATTTTATTAAGATACATTTTCATTGCACTGGTACAAATGGTTGTGCGAAATTATGCGAATANAGAGCGAACCTCATGAACCGACGACATCAACGCAGCGAAATGTGGTGTTAATTCAAATTCAACATTTGAAAGCACATTTACACATATGGCTGTAGATCATAGATGGGCACACCAATAGTCTCATTTTGTCATGGTATTCGTGAATCGCGCTGAGTAACAGTTG